CCAAACCATAGGAGACAGCCCAGCCAAGATCAGCAAAGTCACCTCCCTAACCCTCAGCTGAGGACGGACACTCAAGGGAGACCAGCTGAGATCAGAGAACTTCCCAACTGAATTAGAGACTCATAAACACTAATATATGTGACTGTTTTAAGTCACTGACTTTTTGAGGTGACTTGTTATGTGGTGATAGCTGATACAAAGACTGCAAGTAAATCTCTGAACTTCGCTGAGTCTCAGTTTTCTCATCTGAGAAATGGAGCAAAAGGAACTTTCCTGCCTGCCTCAGGGAAGATTTTTAAGGTACGATGCAAATATAAACTTTAGCAAATATTTATTGAGTGGCTTCTCTATGCTAAGAACTGAGCCAGACCCTGGGGATTCCCAGGACAGACTGACCCTGTTGCAGGACAACATTAACACCTTCTCCTCCCAGCCACAGGCCATTCCCCAATAAGGCAGAGTGGACACTCCAGCTTGAAGGCAGTGGAAGAGGGAGACCAGCCTGATGGAGACAGCAATGGCCCAGCCATCTCATCAACTGGTTTATCCCACAGATTTATATGTAAGCCACCTCCCTCCCTCACTTTCCCTAAGTTAATGTACAGGGCTTCCCCTTTATTTTTAACTTCTAAGTTCCAGGGATGGACAACAGAATTAATTCATCCCATCACTAAACACTCGGGGACCATGACAGTGGACATGATATTTTCTAGGTTAGGAGACATCTTACATCCCAGTGAGGGCGGAAGAGATAAAAACATGTTGATCCCGCCTTCTCCCTTGTCTCCCACATCTGATCTCATCCTGTGCCTCCAAACAAATCCCGAAACCACCCACTTCTCTCCAATTCACTGCTATTTGCCTGATCCAAGCCATCGACATCTCTTACCACAGCCTTTCTACTGGTCCCTATGCAGCCGACAGAATGTTCTTTTAAAGATCAGATCATAACCTTCTCTTGTTCAGAACCCTCCAACGGGTTCTCACTGCACTTAGACTAAAACCCAAACTTTTCGCCACAGCCTGTGAGGCCCGAGGCCCTGTGGGCTCCAGCCTGTGCCCATCTCCCTTACTCTGGTCCAGCCACGCTGGCCTTCTTTCTGCTTCTCCAGCGTTTCTGGCTTGTCCCAGCTTTGGCACCCACCCATCTGTTGTTCTCTGAAATACTCCGTTCAGGCGTCACTGTTCAGGCGTCCACCCATGGCCCCTTTACAAAATCGCTCCCTCTGACCACTCTTTTTTTTTTTTTTTTTTTTTTTTTTGGCGGTACGCGGGCCTCTCACTGTCGTGGCCTCTCCCGTTGCGCAGCACAGGCTCCAGAAGCACAGGCTCAGCGGCCATGGCTCACGGGCCCAGCCCTCCGCGGCACGTGGGATCCTCCCGAACCGGGGCACGAACCCGCGTCCCCTGCATTGGCAGGTGGACTCTCAACCACTGTGCCACCAGGGAAGCCCATGATTTTTATTCTTTTTAGCATCATGTTAAATTGGCCATGAAACCAGGGATGGTGCAATTGAATTATAAGGGGACTGAAGTATTAAATAAAAATCTAGGAGATAGTCCAGGTGTTTGGCTCATTCTAACACCTCCTTTTGGTGTTCTGGGCTAGATTCCAACAGGAGGTGAAGCAGATTTTAAAAAGAGTAAGTGGAAAAGACAATATCTTCTTTGTTAACAATTCACCTCATTTAATACTGGGTGATGGGGCCAAGGGGTGTGCATCTCTTGGAGGGGTGATTTCCCCTGGAAAACAAGGTGTTCCTTCTGAAGGGGAATCTCTGGTTCCTTAAATGTCAGTGGGATCCAGGAGTGTGGCCAGATAGAAAGTTTTACTGTGGTTTCTTGCTTTCTTGCTTGTGGCTTTTCTGTCTGGCCCTTTCCACGTTGTCCTTCATGTCCAGCACTTGGACAAGCCGAGCCTGTCTGATGAGGATGTTAAATTCTAGCCATGGTAAATGTGTCTGGCACAAAGGACAGACTCAGCTTGCCAACTCGAGGATGGAAGAAAAGCCACTGTCTTTATCACCTTTTCATCACCCCTCTACATCACCCCTCTACTGAACCCCTCTAGATTAGTGGAAATTTCTACCTTGGTCATTTTGGGGCATGTCCCCAGAGTGCTGGTGAATGTTTAACAACCGTCTCTCTGGAGGGACAAGTAAGCCCTGATTTGTACCTTTTGCTGATTTCTGCGCCTAAGTATTCCCACTGTAGCTGATTTTGACCTACCAATATGATGTCAGTGAATGTGGAGCTGGAAGGAGATTTGCAGTAGCCCCCATTATACAGTATTTCCACCACACAGATACTACAACCAGAAATAACCTCAACTGCATAGCTAGCAATAAAATGTATGAAATCATTAAGAAATGATGAGTTGCGAGTATTTATCACCTGTGTTTTAATATAATGTATTTAACTGTAAGTTTATATAAGTTAATTTTTAACAATAGCTGCGTTTAATAATTGGCTTGCAAATTTCCTGGAAATTTAGCGAATCAGTTCTGGTTACAAGCTGGCTCACCACTGCTTGTTGCCCCCTGCCTGGACTGAGTTGAGTCTTGGTATCTGGAATTTACATGGATCAAGGCATGTATTGGTACTTGTAGTTATCAGTTCTCAGTCTACAGTATAAATTATCATGGAAACGCTCATTTCCTAGGCTCTAGAGATTCTGGTACGTATTGAAGCCTGATTAGAATCATCGACCCCCAGGCTGGGAACACTCAGCTGGTAAGAACTGACATGGTCATAATGGCTGTGTACGGCCAGTGTCTGTTCTGATTGGTGCCCATGACATGCAGATGGAACCTCACCTCTGATGCAATTTCCCTGCGGTACCATTTCTTCTGAAGCCCGGAACATTCCCTCTGAAACCTGGCATGTCCTGCAGGCATGACTGCGGAGCAGAGTACAAATCCCCGCTGGGAGGTTGCACCCTCAGCTGTGCAACCCTCTTTCTTTGCTGCCTGCCCAGATGTTGCCCCACTCAGGTAACTCTGGCCTCCTGACACTACCTCTCACCAGTCCCTGGGGTTCCCAAGGCATCAGCCTCAAAAGCCCTCTAACCTGGGTTCAAACACTGTAGAAGCCAATGTGTCCACAACTAACAGAGGGGTCCCTGTGGGGATCATCTGTTGATTTTCAGGGACGAGTTCACATGCCATCTCTGAGCTCTGCTCTGCTTGAAACTCCGAGACTGAGCCCCATCATCCCCCCTTGAGCTGGGGACATTCTCTGCAGGATTATTCCAATGTTGACTATTATGTTAGTCTGATGCGGCTGTCATAACAGAATGGGTGGTCTAAACAACAGACATTTATTTTCTCCTAGTTCTGGAGGCAAGAAGCCCAAGATCAAGGTGTCTCTCCTTGGCTTGCAGATGGCATCTTCTAGCTGTGTCCTTACCTGGCCCTTTCTCTGTGTGTGCACATTCCTGGCATCCCTTCCTCTTCTTATGAGAACACCAATCCTATTGGATTAGGTCCCACCTTTCGGACCTCACTTAACCTTAATTACCTCTTCAGTGGCCCTCTCTGCAAATACAATCACGTTGAGGGTTGGGGCTTTGACATACGGATTTTTGGGGGGACACAATTCAATCTGTAACAACTACTGAGCACTTGAAATGTGGTTGGTCTAAACTGATATATGTTCTAAGTGCAACGTACACTGTGGATTTTCACCATTCATCATTTTTCATCACATGTTCAAAACAGACTATAAAGTATCTCATTAATACCTTTTTATATTGATTCCATGTCAAATGACAATACTTCGGATCTATTTGGCTAAATAAAATATATTATTAGAATTACTTTCACTTGTTTTTTTATCCCACTTTTTTTTTTAGTGTGGCTACTGAAAAACTTTAAATTACATGAACAGCTCACGTTATGTTTCTGCTGGACACTGGGTGTCCAGAGACCCTCTCAGAGCCGATGCAGCCACCCTTCCTGTGGTCGGTGGGGAAATATTGTTCTCTGGGGCCCTATCCTGATGCCCCCGTTAGCCTCCTTCATCCCTTTCCTTCTCCCCCGTTTCAAAAGCCCACACCTTCCTGCCTCTTCTTGGGCTGTCGTCCGTTCCGTCAAAGCTGTGTGGGGAGGAGATACAGGTGCGCAGTGAAGGAAGAGCTTCCAGACCATGGAGGTGAGGAAGGAAGCATCTTGCTGTGATTCTTACCAGGGTCTGGCTCACAGTGGGAGACACGTGAGATAAGCAGACCCTCCGTGCTGCCTGTATCGCCCCCGCTTAGCGTGTCTCTTACGTGTTCTGTGTTAGAAGAATCTCCATCTCTTACTCCGCCTTCAGTTGCTTGGCCAAAAGCCCCATTTATGACCCCACCATGAGGAGAAAGAAATCCCACCTCACGCCAAGAGATGAAAAACATATGGTCCTAGACCTCAGTTTGCTCACGCTATCACGCTATGGAGGAAGGAGTTGATGGGGTGGAAAAAGATATGAATGGCATTGTCTTCGAGGCTATGGCACTTTTATGCATTATTTCACCCAGCCCTTCTAACAACCTCATACTATATTCACTTTACAGTTAAGGAAACAGAGACTCAGGGAGGTTAAGTAACTCTTCCAGGGTTGCCAGCTGGCAGGTCGTAGGACCAGTATTTGAGACCAAGTCGATCTGACTCTCGGCTACCACACTGTGGGCGCGCAGTAAAAAGGGAAGAGTCTTCTGGAGCGTAAGGGAACTCTCTTGAGTTGGATCCAGTCCAAGAAAGGAAAGCAGAGGGAATTCTAGGCATGGGACTGCTCTGAGCAAGAACGGGCAGGTCGGTCTGGAGCAGGTTACTTCCTGGAGGGTCCAACCAAGAAGTGGGTCCCATCCCCAGCCCTTACAGGGCTGCCCTCCTGCAAATCTCCTGCTTAATGTTCAGCACTGAGGGGGCGCTGAGACTTGCCAAAGACTCACAGGCAGCACCCCATAGCCTGCTTGTCCCTATCGGGCTGTCTGTGGGTCATGCGGTGCAGGGCTCACTCACCGGCTTCGTGTAAGGTCTTTCTTGAAGTTTATTACATCCTTCTCCATATACCTGATGCTCCTCGTTGGTTTGTCGGGGACCTGAGGGAAGTCGAGAAGTGAAAGAAGTGTTAGTACAACCGTTCCAAGCGGAGCCAGGCCGCAGGAGGCTCATGCACTCATGTGAGATGTCTGATCAGCTTGGAGGGGTCCTTAGGCAGCACAGCGCCCTTTTTTCCACCAAAAGAGAGGCCTTGTGGCACACTGGCGACAGCAAGGGGCTTTGGAGACGGACGAACCTGAACTCTGATCCTCATTCTGTCTGGTGACCGCCTGCGTGACCTTGGACAAATTACTCAACATCTCTGGGCCCTAATTTCTTCAGCAGAAGAAGAGGGGAATAATTCCTACTTTGTTGTGATGATTAAATTAATCGCTAAATTCCTGACTCATGGCAAGCATCAGAAAAATGGAAGCTTCTATTATGAGCATTAGACTCAAAGTAAAGCAAAAAATTAAATGTTGATAATCATTGTTGTAAAGTGGCACAGGTAGCTGATTTAGAGAGCTTGAATTCTGTCAATATAAAGATGCAAATGTACTTTTCCCCTGCCCTCACTGCTCCCCTAGCAGGATTTTATGAGTGAATTATCCAGGTAATTGTTCATGGGTTTTTCTTTCCCTCTTCTCTGTTCATTTGCCTTTCTTAGCCATCAGGGAAACCTCACAAGACTTAAATTTATTACTCAGAGGTGGATATCAGGTCAGTATAAAGAAGAGAGTTAAATTAACTATATTGTAATATAAAAGTCACTTTTCTCAGCTACCAGTTTGGTGAACAATAGCAAGACTATTATCTGGATTATCGTGTCGTGAAATTAATTCCTGCAAATATTGTTTTTTTTTTTAAATGAAAGGAAATGACAAGAAATTATGGGAAAATGGATGCTTTCAAATGAAACTGTGGGAGAATACATTGTAATGACTTTTCTGAAGGGCAATTCCTCAATGCATACTAAATGTTGCAAAAGCAGGCTTGCCCTTGGTCTAATGATGCTTCTGCTGTCAAGCATCCTATGGGAACATCCCTGCATGGGCACAGAGGTTCATATCAACAAAACTGCTAAGATGCTGCTTCTGAGAGCAAACTCTTGGAAATCACAACTTCACAAGAGAAGACAGGTTCAATAATCAGGGTGCCTCTAAATGACAGAATACTATGCAGCAATTAAATGCAACGACAATATAATGATCTAAGCCTAGAGGTGCTGGAGGAGCTCTCTGAGGGAGAAGTCATGATACAAAGTAATAGGTATTGCATGACTCTTTGTTTTTGAAAAATGATCTGTTTGAATATATACGTATCAAAAGATATGATAAGCTCCCCCTCCACCCCGCCATGCAGTGATTCTCTACGGGGGTGGGATTATAGCAGATTTTATTATTTTTTCTTAGCTTACGTGACTTTCCCATCGCTCTGCAGTAAATATGAATCAGTTACGTAATAAACAAAAAGAAAATATTTTTAAAAAATAAGTGGCAAGTGAAATTTGACCATGGCTGATCAGTGGTACTGTACTGAGAGTGTTTTCTGAAGGCACAGTGAGGACAGTTCAGCTACTCACTAACAGAAATCATAGTAATACGGACGTGTGGGAGGAGGTGTGGTGTTTTCTCAGCAGCCATCATCACCCACTTTCTCTGAAGATGAAATTGGGCTGTGGTGCCTGCTGCTCTGGGCCTTTTGAGTGGACTGTGGAAGGCCGGGGATGTAGCTGTATCAAAGTTGAATGACGTCTGGATGGATCTGGAGATTGTCATACTGAGTGTAGTAAGTCAGACAGAGAAAGACAATTTTCATAGCTATCGCTTATATGTGGAATCTAAGAAAAATGGTACGAATGAACTTATTTACAAAACAGAAATAGAGCCACGGATGTAGAACACAAACTTATGGTTACCAGGGGGCAAAGCGGGGGTGGGAGAAGGGGTAAACTGGGAGTTTGGGACGGACATATACACACTACTATATATAAAATAGATAAACAATAAGAGCCTACTGTCTAGCACAGGGAACTCTACTCAGTACTCTGTAATGGCCTATATCGGAAGAAAATCTAAAAAAGAGTGGATATACGTGTATGTATAACTGATTCACTTCGCTGTAAGGCAGAAGCTAACACAACATGGTAAACCAACTCTACTCCCATAACATTTTTTTTTTAAATTGAATGATGTCTGTAGTGGGGTGGTGAGGATAGAGAGTGGGGTCTGGGGTGCAGGGAAGGGACTGTTACCAGCCTGGCTGATTCTCAGCCACTTTTCTCCCGGGTCACCCAGTACGTGTCCTGTACCAAGCAGCTCGGGTTAGAGGTGGAGAATCTACGGCAAGACCCCAGAGTACCCCGTCTTGTCCACTAAATAAAGCATACGGAATACCAGAAAAGCACCTGGGATAGCCTTGAATAAGCTCAGCTAGACATGAAACAATAAAATCATTTATAAACTTTATGTCTTTAGCTATCACTAGGAATGACTTGTAGGTAATATTATCAAGCTTATCCAATACACCAGGGTGTTTCAACCCCTTGGCTGAAAATTGATGGCAAATCTATCAGTTTTCATCTTGTGGGATGGTGAAGTGGGTGGAGAGACAGTCCTCCAAGGAGGCATATAAGGATCTCTGGGAGTACTTTTTAAAACTTCTGCATAATATTAGGACACCGGCTTTTCTCATGCTCCCAGTATCCCTTCTCCCTCCCTCTTGATACTGGTTGGTTCCCTGGTTAGACTTCCTGCCCCTCAGAAAATACTTAGGGTACCAGCAACAGGGTAGTCCTAAATGGCTGAAGCCAAACAGCAGAGCCCACCTCTCATCACAGTGACTGGTTGAGGGATGGTCATGTGACACAATTTGGGCTAATGAGACACAAGCAGACTTTTGCCAGGGGCTTCTAAAAAGCACGATTCCTAGATCTAAGGAACCATAGGCAAAGAAGTTCTCTTTCCTCATAGACTATGAACAGAGAAGCAGACACCTGTGAGGGCTGCTGGCAGCCATTTTGTGCCTAAGAGGGAGCCACCCTCCAGCTGAAGAAGATAAGGGGGAAGGCGGAGAGGACAGTCAAAGAAAAACTCGTCCCGTGGTACCTTGCTGAACTGAACAAGTTTCAGTAGAACCTGGACTTTTCACGAACATTTCCTTTATTATTTCCATCAGTTTGAATTGGCTTTCCTTTTCCTTACAACCACAAGATTTCTCTCTGAAACAGCTTCCTCCCTTGAGTGTGTCAAGGCAGCAACAGATCAAGAATTATTGCAACTAGGTCTCTTTCCCCTCTTGGGGATTAAGATCAGATGACCCCCTATTCTGGTGCATTTTGCAGTGAAAGCAATGAGACTGGCCATGTTGAGATCAAACATTTGAAATCAAGGTTGTCTCTTTTTAATGCCTCATTTTTTTTTTTTTTTTTGAGCAGCCAATTAATTCCTTCTTTCAGAACCAAAGCAACTTTCTTCAGAGATGTTGTGATGAAAACACTTACGAACAAAGACAAAATAAATACACTCAAACTTCCTTGCTATAATTTGAAAATCCATGACTGAAATGCTGCTTGATGTCAGTTGTGTACCCATCACTCTCCCAAATGTCTCAGGTTTCACCCCCTTCATGAAGCAACTATGATACTGTCTAAATTTCACACATTTTCCCTGAAATCTCACCTAATGATAGCTGCCCATGCACCAGGGATTCACACTATTGTAAAAGAGTGAGTTTGTATAGACTGGGATTGGTGCTGAACAACTTATAGCAGCAAAGCCAAATTGTGTCCTCAACTTGACATAAGACTTCAGCAG